GCCCCGACTGCTGCACTTTATCCGGTGGTGACCGGTCCTGCGTATTTATGGAAGAAACCGCCGGCGCGTTCCACCAGCGGATGGCATCTGTTGACACTGGATTTAAGGAACTCCGCGAGCGTCTTTTGCACGCCTGTTTAACCTTCGTCAGCCGAAAAGCTAACCACATCCACTGTGTTTTGGGGATGGGGGCTGGTCTTAGATAGAAGAATCGGCCGGTCTGTCGGGATTTTTTAACAGAGGAAGGAAAAATAATAAAAGTTTACATTTTTTTTTCTCTGCTTGTGTGTGTGCCCGGGGCAGGGAGAGGGTGTCTTACCTTGGCCGACGTGGGGTAGAGAACAGGGGCGGTAGGTATCCCAGCTGCAGGTTTCTCTTCCCAGGGCCTGGAGAGCCACGGCTGCGGTTGGGGTGCGAATAGGAGTCCTGAGAGGCCTGAAGGACAGGTCACAAAAACTGCCCCAAACCATCGCTGTCAGTACTGGCGTTAGATCCGCTCTGAACAGCCACCCCAGCTGCAAACAAAACGCAGATTTACGGCCTAAGCGATAGAAACCCCAAACGCTCAAATCGTTGTCTTGCTGAGACAAAAGCCCCGACTCTGCCGCTTGAGCCCAGGTTAAACTACGGAGAAGGAGGAGTATTTTGTGAGCTTGAAGCTTGGAGATTGATTGCTGGGGACTACACAGAAGCGGTTTACGTGATCGGTAGCGGGCTTCACGGCTCAGCGCTGGGAACAGCGAAATGAGTAACAGAAGCCTCTCCTGTGACTCAGTCAGTCTGATAAGGCAGGATTATTATTACTCTGTATTTTGAGGATAAGGCTAATTCTTCCTGCCTACACAGCTGTCCTGAGCCTTGTAGAGCAAGGCTCTACGACAGACTGCAGTTATGGAAGAGCATCCAAATGCCACAGCGCTGCGATGGTTTGGAAGCACTGAAGAAGCGCCCCATGCGCCGGTGGCCGGAATACCCTGTGTCGGGAATTGCGCCCCACGGAGTACGGTTACCACTACGCAAAGTCCCTCAGTGTCACCCTGGAACGTACCTGTGCTGGCGAGGTCTGGGTCAGCTTGTGAGGCTGAATGGCACGGCAGGATCGCCGGTTCATATTCTCCCTCCAAAAAACTGGAGAGCTCTCCTTGGGAAAAAAAAAAACAAACCAAAACCATAAAGCAAAAACCAACCAGCATCAGACACCATCTGTCCCAAGTGGGCACGGGTGCCTGAGGAGCTGGAGGCCCCAGAGGCAGTGACGGGAGACAGGAAATGAGACAATCCTTGCTTGGGGGTGCAGGGTGAACCCGGCAGGTTTACCGACTGTAACCTGTTCTAGGGACTGACATTACAGTAAATGTAGTGAGTTTTTGGGATTCCCACTACGCTTAGGCCACTTCAGCACCATCACACTCAGATTTGTTACTGTCTTTCACCGAATCTCAACAGTGTTAACCCTGACCCATGGGTAATGGGGGGGATGTGCAGCCCCTTGGAGAAGGGGCTGCCTGTGTGCGTTAGCCAAACGATAAGTGAAAGTACAGGGACACTTACCACAAATTACCTATCCTCCCATTACGTTACATTACCCCAAAACGATTAAAAAACCCGCTTTGACCCAAAACAGGTTGGAACGAGCACATTTAAGAATCCACACGTACAAACACCATACCTACGGAATCAGAGATTGGGGCGTGGTGGTTGTTCCAATGTGTTCTCCGTCCAGGAAGAAACGAGTTTGTCCTGGAAAGCAGGTTCCCAAATCTCTCTGCTGAATGCCGTTCTCAGTAGCGGCGTCGACCAGTGTCTGCAGCTTCTCCCTCCCGCGGGTCGGGGTGCTGGCTGTCAGCAGGGCAGCGCTAGCCCCGTGGCTGCCTGGCGTTCCGTGCCGAAGTCTCCCCCACAGCAGCACCCGTGCATACGCCAGCTCATACACGCGGAGTCCCAGCGGAGCGGTGAGGGCTCGCGGAGGTTCGCACCGGAAGCCAGCGAGCTGCTGCCGGAGGAGGCAGTCCCTGCCGTTTCCCTGCGCCAGCACCGGCGCCCATTGTCCCGGGCCGTGAGCCGGTTCGGGCTGCCACGCTGGCAGACGGCTGGACAGAAAGGGGGAAGTGTTCTTCAGCAGCGCATCTCCCCGAGCCGGCACAGTGGCGGGGTTTTTGGGAGCCGGCACATTGGCGGGTTTATGGGATGACAAGGACAGGGGTGCGAGGGGACGCTTCCTTCTGCCCGAGTTAGCAGTAGGTGACCAAACCGACGTGCCTGAAGTCAGACTTCGGCACCTTCCCGTCTTCTTTCCCAAAGAGACGGCAGCACCACGAAGCAACGGGTTAACGTAGTTCCAAAAGCGATCACGGGGACTGCTACCATGTTCTGTTGGGTCATATGGGATGACAAGGACAGGGGTGCGAGGGGACGCTTCCTTCTGCCCGAGTTAGCAGTAGGTGACCAAACCGACGTGCCTGAAGTCAGACTTCGGCACCTTCCCGTCTTCTTTCCCAAAGAGACGGCAGCACCACGAAGCAACGGGTTAACGTAGTTCCAAAAGCGATCACGGGGACTGCTACCATGTTCTGTTGGGTCACGGGAGGTAATTTCTGTGGGTAACTCGGCAAAATTAGTGCTTTCTTTGTGATAGCCCCTATAAATGTCCTAAATACCTTTTAAAATGGCTACTCACCTTGTCCTCTTAACATCTGATTTTCAGCAATTAGATTAACTTGTCTGGAAAAAAAACCGACCCCAGACCGTCTGCAAAAAAGTTTGTGTTTTTGTGAAATATATCAACTCTCATAGGCCAATTTATTCAGTTACAAACTGCGCTGAGAATAAAAGATTTATGCATTTCTCTTAATTAACAGAACAAGTTTAGCTAAATAGAAACTCTGCACTACAGTTTTGCAGTGGCACAATACCAACACAGAATACAGAAGCATCTTTAAACTATACAAAAATTTTAAAATTGAAAATAATCCTGTTTACATATCCTTTATACATTAACATACAAAAGACCTCATTTAATGAGGCATCTAAACGAATCAAAACCATCTCTACAGCTATCTCTGAAAATCCCTTATCTGGAAACATTACACAGAAGCTTTACAAGACTATTTAAACAAACCAATACACACTTTTTACAGGATTAACATTCCCAAAGGTACTCATAGGCAGGTGGTCACTTTGTTTTTGCAGTTTACCTCACCGGTTATCTTCAGCGATTAAAAAAAATCTTCATATTTATATAGGCTGGGTATTGTTGGATAACCAGTAATCTCATTTAAAAGTTGTGCAAAACAAACAAAAAAATTGGAAAAACAGTAAGTTTAATCAGTCATTTATATAAAATACCAACTAAAGCGCTTCTTTTGCCCCGTGCGAAGGGAAAAAGCTGTAACCAATCTCTTACTGGAAAGTCACCAGTTAGGATTTTCTATTCCTTCATCAGACTCTTTCTATAAGTTACGATAAGTTAAAACGAGACGCTGACTGATCGACAGACCTGCCCAGCATCCTCACGTGCTTACAGCTTCTCTCTGCCGTCCGTATCCTGCTGCTGCTGCTTTAGATCGGGGACACCCGAGCCCCCCGCGCTACCTGGAGGAGGCCGAAAGGGCAACTCGATTCCTACGCCGAAGCGTAGCTTTACACAACAAAGACCTGCCGTGTGGCTACTGATGTGAGCCATTTCCTCTTCTCACTTCTAATGTACCAGGAGAGCCAGCAGCAAGAGGTGCGCGGAATTCGTCTGAACTTTGAAAAACTGAGTTCCGATTATACGAAAGCCTGTTTTCAAGTTTGTTATAATAAATGCAATTACTAAGAGATTACCAGTTAGCAAAACTACCGTATGTGAGTAACAAATGGAGAAATCTAATGTGTCGCGGGCCAGTAATGCTGGTTTTCTTAAGAAGCAGATATAATGTATCGAAAAGGGTCCTTTAAGAGGTTTTTTCTTTTCCCTTATTTTCTGGCAGTTAGGATATTTGGTGAAGCCTATGTAAAGGAAGAGGATTTTCCCCGAACTCCTTGCTGCACACCGGAAAGAACATTTTCAGTCTCTGTTGGTGTTATTGGCTGCAAAAGCGTGTAAATTTCCCATCTGGCTCAGCCCACTCTGAATGTGTGCAACGTGGATCTCAACGTTATTCTGAAAACAACTGCAGGAAGAAAAGAAGAAGAAAAAAGAAGTGTTAAAACCCCCATATTTAAGAGTTGTGCCTGAATATTTCTACAGTGAAAGTCAAGGTACGAACACAGCCAGTCTAAAAATTCAGATGAATCGGTACGTGCATCACACAAGGCGAATAGAAATGTGTGAAAACAGCATTTGCACAAACAGCTGCGTGAAGAGTTATGGACTCGGGCACATGAAAGAAGGCTTTGACGTGACCAGAGTTAACGAAATAAAAGTATTATGAAGAGACGCTAAAATGCCCCAAAATAAGTACAGTGAAACGCAAAGATCATCACCTTCTTCATGGTGTACAGCCTCTAGCTGAATCCACTCCAGTGTGCAATTTGCAGTGTTCCTTGTACAGAAGTTTCACTAATGTTTGGGGTTTATTTTTGGGTTTACTAATGAAAAATCCTATAAACCAGCATTTCTCAATAATTATTTTTAAATTCAAAGGCCATCCTATCATCTTTGAAAAAAACCTAAATGTGTGCAGCCTCCCATTATTAGGTAGCAATACAAGTGGTCTTTAAGTTTACATAGTTTAGAAAATTTAAATTTAATTTTGCAGCATTATAATTATAAAAAAACCCATCCCGGTCACAAATTGCTGGAGGATGCAGCGTACTCCTGACAATTATCACCCCATTCTTGCTACATTTATAATGCTTTCTCAGGCACCTGCTTGTGACAACTGTTGAAAAAATGGCCCATCCAGAGTAGATGGGCCTTTGATCTGGCACAATACGGCTGTTCTGCTGTTTCTTGGTTTAAAATATTGCCAGTGGAAGCTGGTCAGAAGTTACAATTGTCTCATATGCCAGCTTTTGATATTTACAGAGAAGGGGTTGAATAACTATGCAAAAAGAACACTGACATTGTACTGTGCTGTGGTTTAAAGAGCTCATACTACATTTAGAATCATGGAATCATTTAGGTTGGAAAAGACCATTAAGATCACCACTTTCAACCGTTAACCCAGCACTGCCAAGTCCACCACTGAACTGTGTCCCTAAGCACCTACACGTCTAAGTCCCCTACACGTCTCTTCAGTACCCCCAGGGGTGGTGACTCCACCACCTCCCTGGGCAGCTTCAAGTAAGAAATTTTTCCTAATATCCAATCTAAACCTCCCCTGGCACAACTTGAGGCCATTTCTTCTTGGACTATCACTTGTCACAAGAGACCAACCCCCCCACCTCTCTGAACCCTCCTTTCAGGTAGCTGTAGAGAGCGATCAGGTCTCCCCTGAGCCTCCTCTGCTCCAGGCTGAACACCCCCAGCTCCCTCAGCCCCTCCTCACAGGACTTGTACTCCAGACCCTTCCCCAGCTCCGTTCCCTTCTCTGGGCACACTCCAGCCCCTCAGTGTCTTTCTTGGGGTGAGGGGCCCAAAACTGACCCCAGGATTCAAGGTGCAGCCTCACCAGTGCCCAGCACAGAGGGACAATCCCTGCCCTGGTCCTGCTGGCCACCCTGTTCCTGATGCAGGCCAGGATGGCGTTGGCTCCCTTGGCCACCTGGGCACACTGCTGGCTCACATCCATCCGGCTGTCGACCAGCACCCCCAGGTCCTTTTCCCCCAGGCAGCTTTCCAGCCCCTTGTCCCCAAGCCTGTAGCGTTGCAGGGGGTTGTTGTGACCCAAGTGCAGGACCCGGCACTTGGCCTTGTTGAACCTCACACAGTTGGCCTGGGCCCACCGATCCAACCTGTCCAGATCCCTCTGAAGAGCCTTCCTGCCCTCAAGCAGGTCAACACTCCCACCCAACTTGGTGTCGTCCACAAACTTACTGAGGGTGCACTCGATCCCCTTGTCCAGTCACAGGTAACTGGCCCCAGTACTGAGGCCTGGGGAACACCACATGTGACCAGCTGGTCTAGGTGGGATTTCAAATTCTGAAAACCTTCAGAACTTATTAGGTGTCATAAATGACTGGAGAGCAAGAAAGTCTAGTTGTTGCTGCATCATTTTAGCACTTTTGTTTCACTTTTTTATTTAGTTTTTTTTTAATCAGGTTACTTCACTGCTAGGTTCAAACAGAAAACTGCTAATTTCACACTCCCTTTAAGCAGCTCCTTTTTAAATGGGACCATTCCTATAAGTAAAAGTTGCCAGATTAAAACCCTTAATTATAATCAGTGTTCACCTCTAAAATACAGGAAGAATTGCTTGCTGGCACAAAATGTGTAATTAAGAATTAAATATTCAAAAAGTAATACCTGATATTTGAGGAGTCTATTGAATTCTTAATGTCATTTAATGAATCTGTTAGGGATTTAAATTCAAAGGAATTCAGGTCACCTCCTTCTGCCAGACACTGTAGGAGAAGAAAACAAAATGCGTTCTCACAGTTCGGCACAAAGAAACTGACGGAACCTCAATACTATGTATTTTATGAGAGAAACTGTTTGGTTCCCCCCCCCTTCCCCTAACATTTTACCTTAATCTGCAGTAATATTGCTGTAAGTCTGGAGATAAGATCAGTTAAATTTTCACTTTCAACACAAAGCTGTCCTGTGGTTGAGGAATTTGCTTGCCTGACGATCTCCTGAGCCTCCTCTTCACATCTACGCCTCAGATCTGTGGGTTGGTCTGCAGGCTGAAGGCCTTGGTCAGGAGCAAGCTGCATGGACAAAATAAAGAGGAATGAAGAATGAAGATCTCCTTTGCATTTAGTGTACGTGTGAGATGACAAATTACTTCAAAGGGAGTTCACAGGTACATAGCACACAGTGTTTTTTCTTTATGTACATGCACTTCTCTTTCAAAACTGACTACTGGCATCAGCAAAAGTGTCTGCATTCTGATAAAAGAAATGGGCAGACAGGGAGAGAGGAAGAGAAGTTTCATTTCAAAGTGCCCCCTGCCCCACCTATGCCCTATTCCCAGGAAATTCTATTGGATTTGGACTTAGGTTAAGCAAACCCAACAAGTAGATACAGATTCCCACAAAATCTTACCTCGTAACAATACTGTTGAACTTTATGCAAAACTTTATTTAAATCTTTGTTTAGTTGTTCTAGATCTAGAACAATGGTTGCGTATCTCCTCTGAAACTCAATGCTGATTGGCATAGAATAGGATTTCTGTGGAAAAGACAAAGCATATTAAAGGCAAGGCAATCACAGAATCACACAATGGTTTGGGTTGGAAGGGACCTTAAAGATCATCTAGTGCCACCCCCCCTGCCATGGGCAGGGACACCTTCCACCAGATCAGGTTGCTCAAAGCCTCATCCAGCCTGGCCTGGAACACTTCCAGGGATGGGGCATCCACAGCTTCTCTGGGCAACCTGTTCCAGTGCCTCACCACCCTCTCCGGGAAGAATTTCTTCCCGATATCTAGTCTAAACCTCCCCACATTCAATTTAAACCTATTTAAACCTACAGGCAATACTGTACCATATATCCTCTGAAGTCATCAAAAGGAATTTTCTCTTGAAAACAGTACTGAAATATTTGAAATCCCAGTGTTTAAATAGAAAAATGTCAACAATCAACATATTAAAACCTAGTATTGCTATTTCAAACTCCAAGTGACAACTGCGTGGTAGGTACCACGCTTTTATTCCCTTCATGAAGTGCTATAACGACCTGCAACGACTGTGATCTGACCTGCTTGTTTCTGCAGTAGCTGGGTATGGCTTCTCTCCCCTGCACGACCAGCACACTATCCTGTCAGCAGGAGAACAGTACAGGAGGCCAGCACGGCCATGGCCACCTCTGCTGCAGAAGGTGCTACGCTCCTTCTGCTGTAACCAATAGCTCTCTCTGCCAAAGAGGGAAGTTTGCTGCAGAGTTTATGTTTGGTAATGTAAGTATTTAGGGTTAGCACAGTTTTCTACTAAATATAAACACTAGAATACAGTACTTTTTTCTTACACTGTTTCCAGAAGGTGTCTCAACACTGTTTGGGTGATGTTTATGAAATTGAAACAAAACATAAAATAGATTGTAAAGTTTCCTCCACAAATGGCCTCTTGCAAGGTAAGCAAGATGTATTTCCACTGCTTCTCAGCCCCATACAGGTACCTCATGCAATCAAACCTGTAGCCATAGGTTTTAAACCAAAAGATGAAGCCAATTGCAAAGTCCAGAGCCTTCATTAGGAGGATCCAGGTTAAAAAAAAAAAAAAAAAAGCAAAACCGAGGTTTCGGTTATCAGTTCAGAGGTTTCAGTTCTAAGTTCTCCATGACACCTGAAAATGTTTGTAGGGCTTTACAAGTCTGACTACCAAATTAACAGGGCTTTTAACTAACACCACAGCTTCAAAATTCACTCAAAAGCAAAGGACACACCAGCATATATTTGACATAGTTCCTGGGGCTGTGCACGTTAAGTAACCAGCCGTGCCTCTCAGAGCTCCTCCAGTGGCCAGCGCCTCCAGAGCAGCCTGGGCTGCTCCCGGCTAGCTGCGAAAGCCGCAGGCAGTTGTGAATTCCCCATCCGAGAGGAAAGGCTAAGGTCATTCTATGTCAGTGATGATGCAAGAAATATTTCTGAGCACCAGCACTATTCCTGATGCAGGAGCAAGCCGGGATCGGGAAACACCGGTGAACAGCTGAAGTGGCAGACAAAGATGGATGCCTTCGTAGATGGAAACAGAAAACATCTCTGTCACTCGGCATCGACATGCTTCTCTGGCATGACCAGCATCACCTCTACCTTGTCTTTATCGCAGGCCAAGTGAAAAAATGAGCTAGCCATCCTTTATATTGAGATTTGTTTATCCAAACGGGTAGCAGATAAGCATTTACTGGTATATCTACACGATAACTTATTTATAGCCTGTAACCAAGACTAATAGTGATGTCAAGATGCTTTACTATTAATAAGCTGTCCTTTGAGAAAAAGGAAATAGCAAATGTGCAGTTGTATGTTTAAATGGCTCCTCTGAAGGCATCCCCCTGCCTCAAGCTTGCCAGATAACAACGGACTACATTCAGCACAGTTCTGATCTTGGCCTGTTCCTATATTGGAACAAGTAATTAAAAAAAGAAAAAGCCTCCACAAAAGGATTGTTTTAAACCAAACAGTGCTGTTACTTTTAATAGTGGTCTAACAATTATCAAATCACAATTGTATGAATTGCTATCATAGTCTGGCAATTAAGCGATACCTGAATGACCTCAAAGGATTCTATTTTATTCACGTTCAGGGATGTTACTGATGTTCAAGTGAATTGGTGCCAGAAAAAGATTTTTGTTCAAAGAAAATACATTTTAAAGGAGAAACAACAGCCACTCAGCAGCACAAACGTAGATGGGAATGCCCAGGGACAAAGAAGATTAGAAGACAGGCTAAGAATATGGCCCAATAGAAAGGTGTCACACCCTCTATTTTTATCAGGACAGCCTTGAATAGTACCGGAGGTTGCTTTATGATCGCTGGTTTACAAAGGAAACAGTGCATGGGAAGAATTTCAAAAGTATCTCAAGTCCTTATCTAGGCGACAACAGAGATTAAAAAAATACCAAATTTAATGTTTATTTCTAGATCCCTTTCTTCCCTGTTGCTTTTTTGTTATTTTCCTTGATATTCTTATTCCACAACACAATTTATGACTTAGTAGCTGAGTGACACTTTAATATATCTGAGTGACATATTAATATCTGGATTCCTGCCAGAGGAAGGCTACTGCAATCCCTATGGATTTCCTTATCTATGCAAAAGTACTAATATTGCAGTAAAAACGAAAAGGTTTTTAGTTTAAGAGGAGTTGGTGATTTTTCTGTATCACAGTTACAGCTGGCAGTAGTATGTTTTAATCTTGCTTCTTTTTGCATCTATTTTAATTATTAATATGTGAAAGTAAAAGACAAAACATTTGATGCACAGGAAAAAATCATAGTAACTGAAGTGATACAAGGTTTTGAAGAGCAGCAACACCGCACAAAAAGTTAAGCGACATAGGGATGGGGCAGTAGGAAGCAGAGTAACAGAACACGCACATGATCTCTGAAGGGACAAAGAGAGAAATGGTACCATAATAAATCAAATCCTTCAACATTCAAATACCTTATGTTTTAAAAAAAAAGAGCATTTTTAGTTTCAAGAAATATAAGGGACTCGTCTACAATCCTTTACCCTTCTGTCTGTATGCTGCAGAGACAACTGAATGGATGCTAGCAGAAGGTTGAGACTGACAGCTTTCCACTCTCAAGCTGATGGATAGCCATGGGTGGTAGAGGAGGCATTCCTATCATTTTGATTTACTGACTGATGATTAGATAAATCCGAGCGAGAAAAACTATTCTGCTGCTAATTAATGCTGGAGCTGCTTTGGTACTGTAATTTTAAATGCCGGTCAAGGGCGCCCAGAGCTTTATATAGAAAATCTCTGAACCAAGTTATTGTTTCAGCCAGAAAGCTGAATAAATAAGTGCCTACCACCCGTAAAATAAAAATTTTATGAATGTCTTACCATCCAAACTCGGACCCAAGATTCTCAAAGTACATGGCATTTCCTTACTTTGTGTGTGAACTGCCATAGGCTATTCCGATGTTAACATGAATGAGTTTCCAAAGCATAATGCTTTCAAAGGAGAATCCTGTTTCAAACAACTGACCTCTCTGACTTTGCTTTACACAAATAATAAAAAAAATTCACATTACAGAAAGTGATAAAATACAGATTTTATCTAGACTCTAGTTTTAATTGTAACTACCGGCATTAGCTGTTAAATCATATCCTGTTTTAAGAACTGAAAAGAGAACATTCTCACCAGCTTTTCTGCTTCTGTATTCATCTCTCTCAATTGTTTGATGTGTTCCTTCTTGATCATAAGGATTTTCGATAACCTGGTCTAAAACAAAGGAACTATTTTTAGAATGAATAGGTCCTTAAGCAGTTTTGAAATGCCATAGAAATATAAGATAATAAAATGTGTGTTTCTATCATCATTTTACCATACATTTCTCAGTTGTTCATCGAGTTAAGATGCAGAAATAACAATTAATTACAATTAAATGATGGATTTTCCAGAGATTTTTAGAGCATTTTCAAGTGCCCTAGATTGGAGGATGCTAAAATCCATCAGCTGAAATTCCCTGTAGGAAGACTAATACAATTTATGGCCAGCTAGAGGCTGAAGAATCAAGAATCTTCTTTTTTTTTGCAGCCTGAAGGGAAGTGAAGGGCATTATCATCACGTACTATGCAATTAATATCTCTCACCTTACCATACCTTTTTTCACACAGTTCTCAGCTGTGCCCTCAACCGAGCACCTGCCCTTTGTGTGCACTCCTGTGTTAAACCTGGTATAAAGACTGGATCTATTTTATATGGAACAACTCCGGGCTTTTCCATCTCCTTCTTTCGTAATGGGAATACCCTGTTTCTGCTGCCCTTGGGACCTCGCAGGCTCAAGTGGAAAGCACTGGGAGTGCTCTCAACACACACATCGCTCCTAAAACTATTCATGCTCCCCAGGGCCCTTAGAGAAACCCCAGCTCCGCTACAACCAGCAACCATTTTATTACTGCTGTAAACAGAGCCAGGATTCCAGTTTTTATAAACTGCAAAGGGGTTAAACTGCATCCTAGTAGTGCAACATGGGACTGGGAGAAATAGGAACTCCGAGTTCAACATACATCTGCTTATATATAATCTCCTCTATTGATTTTCAAGCTCAGTCTTAAAGCAGCCAGGTTTCTCACCTGCTCAAGTCCTGATGGGAAATTGTTCCAGGACCTCCTTCAGCTAATTATGAATCTTCTTGGAATTCCTTGTTAAATGAATCCTTGTTCACTTCATAGCAATTTCTTCTGCAAATACTGTTTTTCAGCTAAATAGGCTCTCCCCTCCTTGTATTTATCCCTGGCAATGAAGCGTTTCTTCTCCACCGTTCTTTCACTAGATTAATCGCCACACAAGCCTTTCCAGTCTCCTCTCCCTCCCATAAAAGGCTCTTGAGCTCCTAAACTCTTGTGGCCCTAGCAGCATCTTTTTTCCATTCACTGTCATCCTCCCTGAATGTCAGCAACAGGAAGCCTGTAACCAGTATTCCAAATGACAGACCTGTAAAGCGGCGTCAATACTTCTCTTCCTACCACAAATGCTTTGCCAGATGCACGTTACGAACAGATGGCAAGCCACGGTCAGATGCACAGAGGCAATACTGCATATCGCTCTTCCAATTCTAGCTGCTCATTTCTGTCCTTGTGCTGTCCCCACGCTGAGCCAGCACTTGCGTTTTTGCAGGTACACGAAGAACCCAAGCAATAATGACAATAAAATCAGAAAAGGCAAGGAAAAAAGTTTTAAAGTTGTTACTCATCAGCTGGATTCTCTCTCTGACGTAGTTTCTAACACATCACACAAGTGCTGACATTGGCAAAAAACCACCTGGGAGGAAGGAAAGCATTGTACACCATCTCCCACTGCTGCCAGAAAGTTACTCGTCAAGCTCTGCTGTCATCACCATTCAGCAACTGCCCGATGCGTCGGAACCCTCCGCCTTGATGAAGATGATGAGTCCCCAACTTAATGCAACATAGATTTTTTGTCCCCAAAACGTTCAAGGTATCTGGTGCTTAACTTCTACGCTGATGTCCAGACATACTCGAGGATGCAGGGCCCTCGTTCTGCAGGTCACGAGCTTGGATTTTATATCATATTCACCCTATTCCCCAGATACGCTCCAGTGAACAAGATAATCTGACTCTCTCTACAAGCAATGCTGACCTTTCACTGTATCTATGATGTGTACCAACCTTCTCTCGTTGGTACGCTTTATTGAATAGACTTACACTGTGTTTGCCAGTCTCACCAGTCAGTACTTCAGCTCAGCTCTATTTTCCTTGAGAAATACTTGTTTAACAGCTCTATTTTCAGCATAACTCATCCTGTGTACTGTTACAGTTCATAGTTCTCATTAAACTCGAAATGAGATTTTAGTACAGTGCTTTTCCACGTTAAAAGAGATGACAGAACCACCCAACCAGTATGTTTAGATTTCATTTTTAGTGGAAATCTTTGAGATTTTTAGTCAAAGGAACCTGTACAAGAACACAAGCACTTCAAAGTAAAGTGGGCAATAACTGTAAGTATTTTCAAACTTTTCATGAACACACAATTGTCAAAAATCCATTTTTAGACTTTGTTCCTCCTGCATCTGCGAAGATCACAGCTTTTCCCGCAGGGACCAGGAAGACAGCCATTCCCTTCCCTGACCGCGTTGCATTCAGACGCCCCCTCTACTGGAGGATGCAGCAACCTTGCCAACAGCCTCTTGCCTCCCAGCCTGGCTCCCTCCCAGGCTCGGGTTTTCCCAAACCAAACCAAGCAGGAAGGGGTGAGGAAAAAAACAAAAGGGGGGGGAAAAAAAAAAAGCGCTGTAGCTGAGTGCTTGGAAACACACCTTCCAAACTTTGATACGGACTAGAATGTAATCTATCGATTTTGACCTGCAGTATAGTCTGTAACGTATTTAAGGATACATTACATACTGCAGGCAAGCAGGAGACACTTATTTTTAAAAAAATGATTGCTTGTTTATGGTTAACTTTATCCTTAATATCACTATATTAATTTTTGAGCCATTCTTTTCCTAACACACATGTTTGTCCACAGTAAACCCAAGACCGAATAACAGTCTCTGATGCCAAAATGTAAACACAGAGAAATTAACATACAGATTTAGAAAGATTAAGACTCACCACTGTAGAACTACAATTAAAATAGCTGTTACAAGACCCGGTGTTTGCTTACAACTCCAAGTTATATGTAAAGAGAATATCCCTAACATTCATTTGTCAGCGTCTGCACGTGATTTAGGCTACACCTCCTTTTGTTCCAAATTAATTTCAGAACCCCTATAAAAGAGAACTAATGGGCTGGGTTGCAACCTTATTCCAGGTGTGCTGCATTTTTTCTGTTTTGTACAAAATAAAGTTTTTCCATGAAATTGGTTACTCATGGTATCATAAATAATTGCCTGGCAATAATTCTCCAGAAAGTTTTCTTTGACTCAAACATTTTCTAATAATTTATTTCCTGAATCAACATTAAATTAGCTTTGACCTTTTTACTGTACCAGCGTATAAGACAGGCTAGAACACCTTTAACAGTCCCCTTTAACCTAAAAATACATCTGGACTGGTGAACGCAGTTCAGTCAACAATCGCATTCACCAGTCTCATGTATTTCACAACACCAGATTTAGCACCATCCTGAAACTTCTAATAAAAAAGTGGATGCTTAAAATGCTCGGCTTAAAAATAATGCACGGTCCTTCAATAAACGTTTTCTTAAGCCTTGTGGCTTTTTATTAAAAACCTGGACAAAGTATTAAGTTACTCACATAAACAGATGCCAAAAATCTGTCTTGATTTTGTTCAAGATCCTTTGACAATCTTCAAGCAAAAAAGCCTGTTAATGTGGTATCTTTGCAAAATGCCACCATTTGTAATCCAAGCAAGAGGCCTATACTTTTAAAGCTCAGATTTCCTTACAGCGAGTAATGAAATACTGCCAAATATGACTGGGAAATCACACATTTTGAGAGTTAAATTACAGAATGCATATCATAAACCGACCACCTTGGTGCAGTAAACAGTTGTGAAGCTCCATACACCTCAGCCACCCAGTTTGATTGGTCCTACCCAATGACTCAAGCTGGAGGACAGCTGCAGGCACAGTTTAGCAGCATAAACAAAGACCGCATCTTTTGTGTATTTCAATTTTTAAATTCATCTTACAGCAACTACATCTCTTGTAAACTTTCTTAGCTAAGCTCGATGCCAAGCCACCTTTTTCAAAATTAGCTTCATACAATAAGTTTTCCCTAAAAAACCTGAATAGATAATTCTGTCAAATAAAATTCATCATGTTGAATGGCCAAAATATTGGTGTTTCCTGTGAACTAGACACAACTTGATTCTTCTGACCAGTTACATACACTTTGAGAGGCGTTGATATGATTTCTCAGTTCTTAGTATTTTAAGCAAAGACATTCCAATCTCTGTTAGCATGTTCAAAGCAGCCTTCATTGTTAAAGAATTCCGTCACAGATCTTAAACTAAGACATGGGCAATTACATTGTTCCATCATCCCAAAGAGTAACTTGCTCTGATGAGTTTTGATATTCAATGAATCCCAGCTTCCTAACATCACTCGTCCATGCTCTTCTGAACTGATGTACAAAAATCACTGAGGAATTATTTCATAAAGATGAAGACAAAAACTACGTTTTCTTATCTATACCATGAATGTTTGCTTTCAGGGAAAAGAGTGCTGCTTGTCTTCTCCAAGAGGGTAGGCCATTACAGAACATAAAATACAATATTATACAATATATGATAATGCACGTAGGCAAATGTTCTTTGTATAATGCAAGTATACGTTAAATAAAACAAGCCTTAATGCAACACAAAGTTTGCAAGCAGAAACAGTATCTTTTTTTAGACCAAGTGGTAGAGCTGGGTAAAATAAGACACGCCTGTGGAGACATTAGCCCCTCCTGTGGTCTGAGCCCCTCCTGTGGTCTGAGGAGTAGTATGTCTCAGCGCTTATGAACAAGTGAGAAAATTAAGAAGGCACATTGGGAATAAAACCAAATATTAACATCTTTTCTAAAGTTAATTTGGACATCACCAAAATCCACAGAAGGTCATTTAACTGCAGAAGAATTAGCAGAATAACCACAAAAAGGACAACACACAACAAAATTAAGAGTTGCAGTTAACACTTACCACTTGAATGAGGAATTCTACCGGAAAGCCTCCTAGTGTTTCACTATCTGTGCCTGAAATTTTGTTTTTCCATGAAGATTGTCCCAATAAAGGGTCATTGTCCTATACAAGAAAGAACATGTAATTTGACATCTTATTTTTAGAGAGATTTGCTAAAATTGTTATCTTGCTGAATAATCTCAGAGAATTAATCTCAAATCCTGTTTAAGGTAAGAGCTTCACTACGTATCAGAAAATATTTCAATCATTAATGTTACATGAAAAAAAGTAACGTACTGTAATTGGAGACTGGAGCGAAGGTGTATAATGCAATCGGGGCGGGGTCACGAAGAACCTTGAAGGCCGTTGTTTCTGTCCAAAGGCAGCGATTGGCATGGTTTCATGAGGTTCGTTACTCTGTAAGACAGGAAAAGGAAGGATATACTTCAGCTGTCAGATTAATTTTACACACCCTTTGGAATACAGAATTTCTGGAATCTGGACTAGCCATGCCCAACCACGCCCCAACCCAACAACGTTTTGAATCACGTTTTGCTTTTGGGCTAGCAGAGCTTCAAAATCATATTCCATTGCTGGAGTTTTCAGTGTGTTACGGCATCGCATCAAACAAAACTTGCAAGGATATTTCAAAAATTCTGTTGGCCAATTGCAGACAAATCATGTCTGAACAGGAGTTTCACAGAGGCTCCAATCTCAGATCATGACAGAGACTAGACAAATTATGGGCCCTTAGTAGATTCAACACTACACAAGATACAGGAGAACATGCGGACTTCTGAAACGCTTGTGATCTAGGCTGACTGTTTGGCAGGACCAATTCCTGGAGCTCATTAACCGATACAAAAGACTGAGCTAGGAAATAATCCCAATTGCTTCGTCAAAGCAACATCCCCACCAGTAGCTTCATTACCATAAGAAGTTTCAAAACGAGGTTCAAGCAACTCGTAATATTTACTTGCAACTACCACAGGCCTTTCTGAACTTTGGCAAATTACAAAGGGCAAGTTTTCTTGATAATTTTCTGTAAATCCTGCCAGGAACCCATAGCAGAATTTTCTTTGAGATCTTACACTACTCATTATATTTTTTCATATTAAACTCAGGCTATTATAATAACCTACAGTAATATGTCTGTTAAATTATTCCAGCCTGAGCCATTATGTATTTATCATAGAGGGTTATCCTGTTCCATAAAACCATACACAGTAGAATCTCATTCCCCTGGAACTTCCCATGCATCTGTTACGCTTATTTCTACTTTACAATAATACCTCCTGGACGTAATATTTTGGATTTTCTAATTTTTGATTAAAGCATACAATTGTAGATTTAAAGAATTTAATTTTTTTTTCATTACAGGTGTTTTAAGAATGTGTCATTAATACTTACAAGAACTTCATAATCTGGGACCGTGTGTGTTCCAAGACCTGCCCTGTCAAAAGTCACCCTGTACGTGGCATTAAGAGTATCTACAGCGTCGATTTGTCCGGTGAACAGTCCATCATGGACACCTCGCAAACGTGCTTTAAAAAAACCCAAAAAAGAACAACAAACCAAGCATTATAATGTTCTGATACCATTGAGAAAAACAGACTTAGTATCTCTTTGCAAGCAACCCTTTATATGTATATTTAAAACTCACAGATTAAATGAAAAATAAAAAGTAAACACAGAAAAATAATTGTATGCAATAGAAACCCTACCCAAATTTTTGTCACATTTATCTTTGCAAGTCAAGTATTTCCTGAATCTAATCTTTAGCACTGCAGTTATGTCTAAATAAAACACTATTTAATACCCAATACCTTCTGTCAGACAGCTTTTGCAGGCAAAAATCAGTTTCTGGATGATTTTGCATACCATTTCTCTTTGATTACTTCCACTGATGACTGCATATTTAGCAAAAGACAATGAGGAGTGTAGCTCAAGGACACAGCTCTGGGAGAGTGAGGAGAGGCAGTGTTGGGCATGCCTGCTCTTCAGCAAGAATTAAAGGCGGCGTTACTCAAGAACGCAAAAAACAATTGTATTGGGTTTGTGTGGCGTGTTTTGGTAGCAGGGGGG